GCAGTAGTAGCAGTAGTAGTAGTAATGCCTGAATGGTCAAGTGCATGAGCTGACTCGCAAAAGGCGCTACTGGCAGGTTCAATCCGTGTTTCTTCACGCACCGTATGTTTATTTTAGTTCTGGTGGCTGATTTTCGAGCGTTCGGGAATCGTCACGAAAAACGCAATCCGAAGTGACAGCAAGATCTTGCACGAACCCGTGACCTTCTTGGCCGCTTTACCGCGGCTTTTGGCCTTGGCCTTACCCTTGGGCTCCGCCTCAATGCTAGGGTGCAGGGTCATCGACACGTCTGATCCAGAACACGTCAAACTTCAAGCTGCCTTTTCGACGGGCCCAGACTCAGCCTTACCTGCAGGCTTGGGCAAGATGTGGCAAGATGCGCACTGCTGGCACCATGCTGCATAAAGAGCACCTGGCTACCGACAAATGCTGTGTTCAGTCGCAGATCTACGGGCCTCGCTTGGGAGCCTTCTCTTCCGCTGCAGGGGGTGCAGCCCGTTTCCTTGGACCAGGAAGAATGCAACAGCATGTTGTCGTGGTAAGGTCTCACCCTTTTAGCTAAGTACAGCCTGCGATCTTCTGTACACAACTAGCTCTCGTGACTTTCCAGGACCTGGCGGTACAAGACTCTTCAAGACATGTCTCTTCGGCTGAGCTAGAGAGCGCAGTCGCTCGATCAGATCCTGCACTCCGTGTTTGGCGAGAGCTGGACAAGTAGCTGACTGTTTGTCAAATGACCAAAAGCCCAGGACCAATTACATGAGTTGTGACCCACAGGGTACTTGTCTGTGCAAGCGGTCGCCCTGTCCTTCTTGCTGCCACTTTGCACGACTCCCAGCTCTTGGGCCTTGCCCTTCAGCACTGCCAAGGTCATGGACTCGTAGTCCTGCAATGGTACGCATTCTCAGGTGACAAGGGCGCTGTTCTGCGACTCGGCAAGGCCATGGCCTCCTCTGTGGCTTTTTCTGTCTTTCGTTTGGGCGCCATGGCTGCAAAGCTTCGAAGATGTCCCAGTACTAGTACCTAACTCTGAAACACGCTGTGCTGGAGGGCGTGGATGCTTCATCTTGGTCTTGTTTCCCAACATCAAGTGGACACAGGGTTTAAGCACTTGCTGAAATCTGCAAAGCTTGGTGACTACGTGTGCGGATGTCAAGGTTGGTAGGATTGCACATGCAGAATTGGTGCATTTGCTGCGGCCTGGTAGCCCAACAGACCCGAACCATGCGTCAACGTAAGACAAAGGAACCTGTGCCAAGTTCTGCACGAGAGAAGACCAAACGCTGCAGAATGGATTCTCCTTTCTTTCCTCGCATTTCACCACGCAGAAATAACCTCATCGAGGGCAGATAAAAATCCATGGCCTCAAGCGCACGGGCTGGGTCCCTGGTTTTGGGTTACCCAGAACCTGCCGGTAAGTATTGACTTTTTCTCCTAGATATCTGCAGAAAAGACACCTCGGCAGCAATGGGCCAAGCCGCAGGGATTATGAGTACGCCCGGTGGCTTGCACAGCACTAAGATTGAGAAACCCACAGCAATTTGCTGCGAGACTCCAAGAGAGTTCAAGCAATTGGCCGGCTTAAACACCTGTCGTCCTCGAAAATATCCCGAAATAGATCCCAAAGTCTACATGCGGCTGAACAATTGCACATGAATCAGGCACTGCATGCCTGCTGCCGGCTCTTGCCGTCGTGGGCTCCGGTCCCATGCAACTTTGGTGGTACTTCTTGAACCTACAGCTTATACGCTTTTGCTGGCGATGCAGACATAGGCCGGAGGGAGAAATGCACAGCACTAAGGGTCTGATGAGGATCCAGGTTGTCAAGCTCTGCACACGGCACTGCAACCACAAAGGAAACAGGAAAATACAGGGATGTCGTGGACGGCAAGAGCCGGGCGAAGAGATGCAGCAAGCTGAATCAGAGAAGCCCACCTCCAACCCAACGGGCGGCGGTGTTCGGCTCAGTGTTCTTTCCTTCGTGTGAAGACTTTGCCACTTCGGATGTTTTCCTGAGCCACCTGGCAGCTGGAACGATATGCTGAAAACAGCTGCTGGACACGAAACCTCCCTGATCGTCCCTGCATTCGGCGCCTTCTTCAGCTCCTGGCACTTGAGCCAGGCCTGCGCTGAACTCACCCCCCAGCTGGTCATCTCTCTCACGACTGCTTCGATCGGCATGCAGGTCGTGCCGTCTGATATGCACGAATAACACCCTGCAAGCCGAGCCAAGCACAACAGGGGTTGGGAAAGCTTGGAGGGTAGCGAAGGGAAGGGCGAAGGACCAGGCAGCGGTCCGTTGGCAGAGACTGAACGGGCATCTTTCGGACGCGACCCAGGAACCTCCACTTGGCCCTTACAAAGATGAAGGGAGCCCGGACTCTTCGGAAAGCCGCCCAAGCGGGGAGACGGAGGCTCGACTCGCTGTTTCCGAAGGTGAGAAGCACTTCCGCCTTGCCCATCAAGAAAACCTTGTCAATGAAGGGCACGTACGCCCGGCGGCCTCGCGCTAGTATGACGGGGAATCAGAACTGGGACACCGCTTCATTCGTGTAGGCAGGAAGGGGCACCGAAGTGCGAAAATCATTAAACGAGTCAGTTGGTTATTGAACATCTGCTGCAGCCTGTAGCATAATGTTCTGAGTGCAAGACTGAGATTGTCGTAGTTATTCTCTCGAATACGGTGCAGGATGTCACCTGGCAGCATGACCAAAGCTCGGGTAGTGGGCCAAAGAATCAAGCACGGAAGTTTCGCACGAGCAGGGAGTCAGGAACAGGAACCCCCAGAGGCCCTAGTGTACAATCACAGTTACGGCAGACCTGACTGCCTCCCACATTCCGGGATCCTTTTTGCCCTCTCTGTGCTTCTCTTGTCTTGAGACCGACTGCACGTGAGTAGCACAGATGCGAACAGGGCGACATGAGAAATTCGGGCCGGGAGCACCGTAGACATACAGCGCTGCCTCAGCAAGCAAGCGGGACAAAATAAGAGTGAAGAGGGTGGCGTTCGGGGTCAATCCGACTTGCCTTTAGGCTGCGGCCATCACACCAAGACGGTTGACTTCCGAGAGGCCAACGATGCCGGCCTTCGCGTTCTCGTACTCCCTGTCATTGCAAAGACTCGACCAAGGAGCGACCAGGAAGGTGGCGGCGCTCGGATCTGCTCAGGCCACCACTCTTCGCACCGCTGCATCTGAAACTCCTCAGTTCAAAAGGCTCTCCCGAAGACGGTGCCCCCTACAGCCCTACGCTGTGCAAAGACGTGCAGCCGAGACTCCATGAAGTCCTTCCACTTCTTCTCGTGGTAGAGAAGTCCCTCGGTCTGAGAGGCCTCCAACACCTTCAACAACCGAGCGTGTTGGGCGAAAACAAGTTCGCTTCTGCTTTGTTCGAGGGCACCTCATCCTCGGTGATGCCGAAACGTGTGAGATCCTTTGCAAGTTGCATTGTGGTCGTGGGCCACCCAACCGCTTGAGAACTTCAGCCGTTGCCTCCAACGGAACGTAGATTCTACCACGCCTGGCATCCTGGCACCGTGTCAATGGCCACACGGCTACACGCATTCCAGCAAGAAACAGTGCAGAAGCAAGTAGTCTACACCAACGGCCTCACCAACATCTCGCAGAATATTCCTGCCAGTGTTGCAAATTGACAATTCGCTTCAGCCCATTTAACACCGAAATGGTCGATTCCATCGTGCAGTGCAGTTGCGAAGTACCAATCAGGCCGTTGGGACGTCAGCTGGAAAGCGACGCCGAGGGACATTGCCGCAGCAATCGTTTCTTCCTTCATGCACACGAGATTAAAGACAAAGGCCACACTGTGTAATTTCAGCTATGCCTTTTCTGAAGCAGCGTTCCTGTAACTCCTCTGTGAAGTTCTGCATTGGGTCGAAGCCGAGCCTTGGAACCAGTTCACAGAGCTCAGCACAGTAGGTGACCCAATGAGCCAAGGCACACTGGCAGTGTCATGATTCCCACCGTGCCGGCAACGCGGTAGCAGTACACCTTCAGCGCGATTCTACCTTTTTGACTTCTGTTCTTCACATCTGCACTACAACCATCGCGCTTGGAATCTCGAAAGCGCATCACCTCTCAACGGGTCATGCAACTGCCTCCAGCTCATAGAAGGTGGCATACCTGTCCTGGTGCAGTCGTGATCACTACCCTAGCAATCCCAAGGAGTGCGCTTGCAGGTGCGCAGTGCACACCCAGACAGACAGACAGACAGACAGACAGACAGACACAGACAGACAGACACAGACAGACAGAGAGACACAGACAGACAGAGAGAGACAGACAGACAGAGAGACAGACAGACAGACAGACAGACAGAAAGATAGATATTATCTGCACATATCTCGCTCTCTCTCTCTCTCTCTCTCTATATATATATATATATATACATATATACA